CTGCCGCCTTGTAGTGTGGCGATGCCCAGCTCGTTGCTCGCTGGAGCCTCGTTGTGCACCAGCGTGGTGTGCGTGACCTCAGGGGATCTATGTTTCAAACCACGCTTGTGAGTCGTCAAACCCGGTTTTTGTCGAGAAAGCTAGGCAAAACGAGAAACAGGAAAGAGGGCTTTTCACTAGCAGCAGCAGGATACATATACGAAACCCTAAATCGGGTTGTACTCGCTATAGAGTACCCCACAGCAGGCTAGACACACATAACATTCTGACACACCCCCATAGTCAAAGTGGGGTACAATCAACACAACAAGCAGGCAGAGCAGTAGTTCACAATTATAAGCAGCGCTAGATAATATCACAGAGAGCAAGTGAGGAGGAGGAGAAACTGTGGGGCCGAGAAGATGAGAGACGACGGCTGAAGCTGCAGACACACGGGCAACAGAAGTGCGCAGCACTGTCGCTACCAGGCTAAACCCGGACTACACGGCGACAGGCTCTGCTGGCTCGCTGTGCTCCCACGAGTGCTCACACTGTGGCTACCGGGCGCAGAGCCCCGGACTACTCAGGCCACAGGGGGTCGTGGCTCTCTGGACTACCAGGAGTGCTCACACCGTGGCTACCGGGCGCAGAGCCCCGGACTACTCAGGCCACAGGGGGTCGTGGCTCTCTGGACTTCAGGCGCTGCGGACGACTAGTCGGCTACCTCCGGTCAACCTCCCCCAACTGTTCCACACCCCTTTCACACACTCCCTGCTGAACCACTAGCACCGCTCACACGCCACCCCCCTCGTACCACTCCGACGGCTCCAACACATCCACCCCCCTCAGCGGCAGCTGCAGCAGTGGGAGACGGAGGAGGAGGAGGAGCAGGGGACGGCTCACACACACGGCACCCCCATACTCTCCACCCCCAAACCCTAACACAGGAACGCGGGCAGCAGCGGGGGTGGGGCGCGGTCAGAAGCTCGGGGGACGGCGTGCGGCACAGGGGAAGACGGTACGGGCCGCTCACGGGCCTGGCGCAGGCCGAACGAACCCCGCGCGGGCTGCCCGAGCCGCGCGCGGGCCTGGCGCAGCCCGTACGGGCCGCGCGCAGGCCTGGCGCAGGCCGTACGGGCCGCGCGCGGGCTGTACGGGCCGCGCGCGGGCCTGGCGCAGCCCGTACGGGCCGCGCGCGGGCCTGGCGCAGGCCGTACGGGCCGCGCGCGGGCTGTACGGGCCGCGCACGGGCCTGGCACAGGTCGCGCGGGCCGCTACGGGCGACGGGGGGCGACGCGCGGGTCCCGGGAGGCGCTGCGACGGGCGACGGGGGGCGACGCGCGGATCGATGGGGCAGCAAACCGCCGCGCACCTCGGGGCGCGCAGCGGGCAGGGCAGAAAACCGCCGCGCGCCCGGGGCGGCAGTGAGAAAACGGCGCCTTAAACGCAGGCGCCTTGGCGCCTTAAACGCAGGCGCCTTGGCGCCTTAAACGCAGGCGCCTTGGCGCCTTAAACGCAGGCGCCTTGGCGCCTTAATCGCTGGCGCCCTTGCGCCATGAGCGCTGCAGGCGCCTTGGCGCCTTAAACGCAGGCGCCTTGACGCCTTGATCGTTGGCGCCTTAACGCGCTTGCGCCTTGCAGCCCGCTGGCAGCTTGTGCGCCGCTGCTGCCTTGTTGCGGCAACGCGCTGGCAAATTATTGTGCACGCTCACGCGTTGCTGCAGTGAGCTCACGCCTTGCTGCAGTGAGCTCACGCCTTGCTGCAGCGAGCTCACGCCTTGCTGCAGTGAGCTCACGTCCTGCTGCCGTGTGCTCATGCCTTGCTACGGCAGCCCGCTTTCTCTTCTCAGCCTGCCGGTGCCTTGCTGCAACTCTCTGCCGCCTTGTAGCGTGGCGATGCCCAGCTCGTTGCTCGCTGGAGCCTCGTTGTGCACCAGCGTGGTGTGCGTGACCTCAGGGGATCTATGTTTCAAACCACGCTTGTGAGTCGTCAAACCCGGTTTTTGTCGAGAAAGCTAGGCAAAACGAGAAACAAGAAAGAGGGGCTTTTCACTAGCAGCAGCAGGATACATATACGAAACCCTAAATCGGGTTGTACTCGCTATAGAGTACCCCACAGCAGGCTAGACACACATAACATTCTGACACACCCCCATAGTCAAAGTGGGGTACAATCAACACAACAAGCAGGCAGAGCAGTAGTTCACAATTATAAGCAGCGCTAGAGACTATCACAGAGAGCAAGTGAGGAGGAGGAGAAACTGTGGGGCCGAGAAGATGAGAGACGACGGCTGAAGCTGCAGACACACGGGCAACAGAAGTGCGCAGCACTGTCGCTACCAGGCTAAACCCGGACTACACGGCGACAGGCTCTGCTGGCTCGCTGTGCTCCCACGAGTGCTCACACTGTGGCTACCGGGCGCAGAGCCCCGGACTACTCAGGCCACAGGCAAGTATTAAAAATACGGTTGTCGTATTATACGGGCCGTTTTTTACGGTCGTATTTTACGGCCAATTTCCAAAAAAATCGGCCGTTTTTTTTTTTCCCAGACTTGGAACCGTCCACCTCTAAGGATGCGAACATCAGGAAAATTGCTAACTGTCAGGCCTAAAAAGCCGCTCCCCCACAAAAACTCAGACTATTATAAGTGACCACGCTTGTGCGGCGATTTCGCCCGCCGATCTACCGGTCGATTGGATCCCGCCAGGAACTGCCTTACTCCCCGTCAAAATTGTTGGAACTAAATGTCGCAACCAATTTGTCGCCAGTTACCACTTGTCACCGCTCTGAATCTACAAGACCCAACCCCCCTTACACTTTCACAGATCTCAACATCGGCCTCAACCCAACCCTAGATCTACAAGACCCAACTCCCCTTACATGTTCGTAAGGATCTTCCATGCCCTTATGGATGGCCTCGGAATCTGTCAGAGCTTCCGTAGGGATGTTCCTGAGCTCCACCGAAACTCCCCTAAGTATTATGCGAACGCGACGGCCATAACCAAGGTCTAGGAATACTTTCATAAATCTCGGGTTCAAAATTGCGGCCGTAAAAAACGACCGTATTTTTGAACGAACCTAAAAATGCAAGGTCTGACCGTATTTTACGTTTAATACGACCGTAAAATACGATACCGTATTTTACGGTGACTTTTTCAAAAATTCGGTCGTATTTTTGAACCTTGGCCACAGGGGGTCGTGGCTCTCTGGACTACCAGGAGTGCTCACACCGTGGCTACCGGGCGCAGAGCCCCGGACTACTCAGGCCACAGGGGGTCGTGGCTCTCTGGACTTCAGGCGCTGCGGACGACTAGTCGGCTACCTCCGGTCAACCTCCCCCAACTGTTCCACACCCCTTTCACACACTCCCTGCTGAACCACTAGCACCGCTCACACGCCACCCCCCTCGTACCACTCCGACGGCTCCAACACATCCACCCCCTCAGCGGCAGCTGCAGCAGTGGGAGACGGAGGAGGAGGAGGAGCAGGGGACGGCTCACACACACGGCACCCCCATACTCTCCACCCCCAAACCCTAACACAGGAACGCGGGCAGCAGCGGGGGTGGGGCGCGGTCAGAAGCTCGGGGGACGGCGTGCGGCACAGGGGAAGACGGTACGGGCCGCGCACGGGCCTGGCGCAGGCCGGACGAACCGCGCGCGGGCTGCCCGAGCCGCGCGCGGGCCTGGCGCAGCCCGTACGGGCCGCGCGCGGGCCTGGCGCAGGCCGTACGGGCCGCGCGCGGGCTGTACGGGCCGCGCGCGGGCCTGGCGCAGCCCGTACGGGCCGCGCGCGGGCCTGGCGCAGGCCGTACGGGCCGCGCGCGGGCTGTACGGGCCGCGCGCGGGCCTGGCACAAGTCGCGCGAGCCGCTACGGGCGACGGGGGGCGACGCGCGGGTCCCCGGGGGCGCCGCGACGGGCGACGGGGGGCGACGCGCGGATCGATGGGGCAGCAAACCGCCGCGCACCTCGGGGCGCGCAGCGGGCAGGGCAGAAAACCGCCGCGCGCCCGGGGCGGCAGTGAGAAAACGGCGCCTTGGCGCCTTAAACGCAGGCGCCTTGGCGCCTTAAACGCAGGCGCCTTGGCGCCTTAAACGCAGGCGCCTTGGCGCCTTAAACGCAGGCGCCTTGGCGCCTTAATCGCTGGGCCCCTTGCGCCATGAGCGCTGCAGGCGCCTTGGCGCCTTAAACGCAGGCGCCTTGACGCCTTGATCGTTGGCGCCTTAAAGCGGCGGTATACATTTGCCAGGGGAAAGTCCAAAAGTTTATAAAAGGTACATGGTGGTAACCAAATTACAGGGTCCCTCGACTTCAGACACAGCGACAAGTCCAAACCCAACCCCAGTCACCTGACTCACTCGTCAAAAGTTTATACCTAGCCAAAAGTATACTGAAGGACATACCTCCTCGCCACTATGCCCACACCCACGGCGTCCTTACTCAACACTAAAAAGGTAACTTCCAAAAGCGGTGCAAGCCATTGCGATTATAGCTCTTCTCACGCATAGGTCATACGCCGACAGAGCCATTGTTTATTTTTCGGCGCCTGATACACGGAGCATTCCGCATCAAAGTGAGAACGCCTTAGCCATTCCCTTTCCTGCGGCCCGATTTCCCTTCGCCGACGCAAAGTTCCTCTTTCCCGTCGCCTAATCCCCCTTCCCGGCGCCCGATTTCCCTTTCCCGCCGCCATGAAACCCCAGTCACGCTGCCCGATTCGGAACGCCGCTCGACTCCTTGTTCTCGCCGCCCGATTCCCCGTCATGCCTCGCGATTCTTCTTTCCCGCCGCCCGATTTCCCTTTCCCGTCGCCCTACTCCCCTTCCCGTCGCCCGATTCATGTTCCCGCCGCCCGATTCATGTTCCCGCTGCCCGGTTCCCCTTTCCCGCCGCCCGAATCTCACTCCGCGCCGCCTGAATCCCCTTTCCCGCCCATTGATTCCAGGCGGGCCGCCCGTCCGCCCCTTCCCGCCGTCCGATTCCCGTTCCCGCCGCCCGCTTCCCCTTTCCCGCCGCCCGATGCGCCTTCCCGCCGCCCGCTTCCCCTTTCCCGCCGCCCGATGCGCATTCCCGCCGCCCGATCCCCTTTTCCCGCCGCCTCCCTTTTCCCCTGTCCGTCGCCCGAGCCCTTCCTTCTCTCCTTCCATCCCTTCTCTCCTTCTCCCTTCTCTCCCTTCCATCCCTTCTCTCCCTTCCCTCCCTTCTCTCCCTTCCATCCCTTCTCTCCCTTCCCTCCCTTCTCTCCCTTCCATCCCTTCTCTCCCTTCCCTCCCTTCTCTCCCTTCCATCCCTTCTCTCCCTTCCCTCCCTTCTCTCCCTTCCCTCCCTTCTCTCCCTTCCCTCCCTTCCCTCCTTTCCCTCCAATCCCTCCCTTCTCTCCAGTCTCTCCCTTCCCTCCCTGTCTCCCTTCCCTCGCTTCCCTCCCTTCCCTCCCTTCTTCCCTGCTCTCCCATCTCTCCTTTCGCTCCCTTCTCTCCCATCCCTCGCTTCCCTCCTTCCCTCCCTTCCCTTCCTTCCCTCCCTTCTCTCCCTTCCCGCCCTTCTCTCCCCCCTTACCTTCTCTCCCTTTTCTCCCTTCCCTCTCATCCCTCCATGCAATCTCCTGTCTCTCCTTTCTCTCCCGTCCCTCCCGTCCCTCCCGTCCCTCCCGTCCCTCCCGTCCCTCCCTTCCCGCCCTTCTCTCCCTTCAATACCTTCGCTCCCTTCCCGCCCTTCTCTCCCTTCAATACCTTCGCTCCCTTCCTGCCCTTCTCCTCCCCCCCACCGTATCTCCGTTACCTTCCATTTCATCCCTACCCTTCCTCGTCTCTCCCTCCCGACATCTCTCCTGCTTCTCCTTTCACTCCCTTTCATCCCTTGCCTCCCTTGACTACCTTCCCTCCCTTCTCTCCTTTCGATAGAAGTCTCTCCGTTCCCTCCTTTTCTCTCCCTTCTCTCCCGTGTCTCCCTTCCTCGCCCTTCACTCCCTTCCCTCCCTTCTCTCCCATGTCTCCCTTCCTCTCCCTTCACTCCCTTCCCTCCCTTCTCTCCCTGCCCTCCCTTCCCTCCCTTCTCTCCCTGCCTTCCTGTCCCCCATCCTTCCTTCCTTACGCACTCCTCCAGCCATTCTCTCCTCTTGCAATCCTCACTGCCATCCTTCCCTTCCGCTAAACCTGTAACCAAGCCCCTTTCGATTCTCTTGTCGTCACCTCCCAAGCAACAGCGGCATTGCCATGGGAAATTTCAACATGCATCTCCCACCTACCCCCACCTACTCCCATCTCACCTCCCCTCCCCCTACCACCTACTCCAATCTCACCTCCCCTTTCCCCCCCTTACCACGGGATTTCAGCCCACCACGCCTCCCCATACCACCTACTCACATCGTTGCTCCCCTCCCCCTACCACATACAACATACTCCCATCTGACCTCCCCTTCCCCTGCCACCTACTCCCTTCTCATCTCCCCTCCCCTACCACCTCTCCTGGCCCTATCAGGCACTCTTTGCTCACCTCCCATCCCCCTACCAGGGGCATTCTTCTCACCTCCCCTCTCCTACCTCTTCTTACCCCCTCCTCTACCAAGGGCGCTCTGCTCACACCCTGCCCCTCCAGGTCCCCCACACTTATGTGTTTCTTTCTTAGTTGAATCTGACCTCCTACAGCCCTCACATTGTATTCCCTTGCTCGATTTCTGTGCTTGTGTTGCAGGTGGGGTGCTTTCCTGACTGCACATCCTACGCCTCACAGGGCACATAACAGCCTGCAACCTGGGCTTGGATAGGCTGCGATTGCAATGGGAATGGCAGGGGAGCATGGCAACGGCTACGAGCAAAGCAGCTTCAAGCCTCTCGGTCAATCGGCCTGTCCTTATACGATCCAAGTATTCAATCTTCCGCCTTGAACATTAGCACATAAACACACCCTCTTTTCCCCTTTTAGGTATTTCTTACTGACCCAACACATCGTGCCATCAAACTCATGTTTGTGTTTTTACCAACTGGTTATTGAACGTAGTGCTTTGTGACATCATTACAGGTGACTTCAACACTCTTTGTAGCATGTTCCCTACCATAACACAGTATGTAAACAAAGCAGTGGTCACGAGTAAAAGCAGAGAGGCAATCCATGCATACTAGTAACTAAGCAAAGAGTGCACGCAGCAGGTCGCCTTTCCTGGACACAGCGCCACAAAACCTGAGGGGATGGTGGCAAGGAGGGATGGGGAGAGAAAGGATGCTGAGAGGATAGATGGAGTGTGGAGGGATGCGGAGAGGAAAGGATGGGGTGAGGAGGGATGCGGAGAGGAAAGGATGGGGTGAGGAGGGATGCGGAGAGGAAAGGATGGGGTGAGGAGGGATGCGGAGAGGAAAGGATGGGGTGAGGAGGGATGCGGAGAGGAAAGGATGGGGTGTGGAGGGATGCGGAGAGGAAAGGATGGGGTGAGAAGGGATGCGGAGAGGAAAGGATGGGGTGAGAAGGGATGCGGAGAGGAAAGGATGGGGTGAGGAGGGATGCGGAGAGGAAAGGATGGGGTGAGAAGGGATGCGGAGAGGAAAGGATGGGGTGTGGAGGGATGCGGAGAGGAAAGGATGGGGTGTGGAGGGATGCGGAGAGGAAAGGATGGGGTGAGAAGGGATGCGGAGAGGAAAGGATGGGGTGAGAAGGGATGCAGAGAGGAAAGGATGGGGTGAGGAGGGATGCGGAGAGGAAAGGATGGGGTGAGAAGGGATGCGGAGAGGAAAGGATGGGGTGTGGAGGGATGCGGAGAGGAAAGGATGGGGTGAGGAGGGATGCGGAGAGGAAAGGATGGGGTGAGGAGGGATGCGGAGAGGAAAGGATGGGGTGAGAAGGGATGCGGAGAGGAAAGGATGGGGTGAGAAGGGATGCAGAGAGGAAAGGATGGGGTGAGGAGGGATGCGGAGAGGAAAGGATGGGGTGAGAAGGGATGCGGAGAGGAAAGGATGGGGTGAGGAGGGATGCGGAGAGGAAAGGATGGGGTGAGGAGGGATGCGGAGAGGAAAGGATGGGGTGTGGAGGGATGCGGAGAGGAAAGGATGGGGTGAGAAGGGATGCGGAGAGGAAAGGATGGGGTGAGAAGGGATGCAGAGAGGAAAGGATGGGGTGAGGAGGGATGCGGAGAGGAAAGGATGGGGTGAGGAGGGATGCGGAGAGGAAAGGATGGGGTGTGGAGGGATGCGGAGAGGAAAGGATGGGGTGAGGAGGGATGCGGAGAGGAAAGGATGGGGTGAGGAGGGATGCGGAGAGGAAAGGATGGGGTGAGAAGGGATGCGGAGAGGAAAGGATGGGGTGAGAAGGGATGCAGAGAGGAAAGGATGGGGTGAGGAGGGATGCGGAGAGGAAAGGATGGGGTGAGAAGGGATGCGGAGAGGAAAGGATGGGGTGTGGAGGGATGCGGAGAGGAAAGGATGGGGTGAGGAGGGATGCGGAGAGGAAAGGATGGGGTGAGGAGGGATGCGGAGAGGAAAGGATGGGGTGAGAAGGGATGCGGAGAGGAAAGGATGGGGTGAGAAGGGATGCAGAGAGGAAAGGATGGGGTGAGGAGGGATGCGGAGAGGAAAGGATGGGGTGAGAAGGGATGCGGAGAGGAAAGGATGGGGTGTGGAGGGATGCGGAGAGGAAAGGATGGGGTTAGGAGGGATGCGGAGAGGAAAGGATGGGGTGAGAAGGGATGCGGAGAGGAAAGGATGGGGTGAGAAGGGATGCAGAGAGGAAATGAGGGGGTGAGAAGGGATGCAGAGAGGAAATGAGGGGGTGAGAAGGGATGCGGAGAGGGCATTACTGGGAAACGTGGGTGGTAGTACGATACTGGAGGTGGAAAGTGGAAACAGTAGGTAGGGGGAGGGAGGGAGGGTAAGCAAGGGAAGGGAGCGAAAGGAGGGGATGCAGTGGTGGAAACGGGGGGGAGGAGGGGGGAAAGGAGGGGAAGCACGGGGGGAAAGGCGATGCAGAGAGGGGGGAAAAGGAGGGGAAGCAGTGGGGGAAAGGAGAGGAAGCAGTGGGGGAAACGGGGGGAAGGAGGGGAGAGGAAAGGAGGGGAATCAGCGGGGGAAAGCAGGGGAAGTACGGGGGGGAAAGGCGAGGCAGAGAAGTGGAGGAAAGGAGGGGAAGCAGTGGGGGAAAGGAGGGGAAGCAGTGGGGGAAAGGAGGGGAATAAGTGGGGGAAAGGAGGGGAAGCAAGGGGGGAAAGGAGGGGAAGCAGGGGCGGAAATGAGGGGATGCGTGGGGGGAAAGGAGGGGAAGCAGGGGCGGAAATGAGGGGATGCGTGGGGGGAAAGGAGGGGAAGCAGGGGCGGAAATGAGGGGAAGCAGGGGCGGAAATGAGGGGATGCGTGGGGGGAAAGGAGGGGAAGCAGGGGCGGAAATGAGGGGAAGCAGGGGCGGAAATGAGGGGAAGCAGGGGCGGAAATGAGGGGATGCGTGGGGGGAAAGGAGGGGAAGCAGGGGCGGAAATGAGGGGAAGCAGGGGCGGAAATGAGGGGATGCGTGGGGGGAAAGGAGGGGAAGCAGGGGCGGAAATGAGGGGAAGCAGGGGCGGAAATGAGGGGATGCGTGGGGGGAAAGGAGGGGAAGCAGGGGCGGAAATGAGGGGAAGCAGGGGCGGAAATGAGGGGAAGCAGGGGCGGAAATGAGTCCAAACGTGTAGACGCGGCCTTACGCATTTCGTGTATTGGAGAAATCCGTGAGGCGAGCAGCGCGTTACTGGTGGCTGCAGTAGGATGGCTGGCTCGCGCGCGCTTCTAGACTGAATTTCGCTGGAGAGCGCGTGCTTGCAACCGCGTGCTGTTTGCTGGGGCATCTAAGCGTCACATGCGCTCGCTGTGCTGGCGCGCCGCGCGGTATGCAGGTGCCGCTTTGCGGCGCGCGTTTTGCTGGCAAGCGCAGCTCTGCTGAGCGCGCTATGCTAGCGCGCGCGGAATGCCAGCATAGCGCGCACAAGTGCCGCGCGCGGATGCCAGCACAGCGCGCGCAAGTGTTGCGCGCGGAATGATAGCGTAACTGGCGCAAGTCCCGCTAACGGAATGCTATCATTGCTGGCGCCAGTGACGCGCGCGGAATGACACGACACACACGGAGTGCCACCATCGCTGGCGCTAGTGACGCTCGCAGGCGTCGCCTGTTCTGCACACGGCTAAATACTCACCCGCGTCTATGTATGTGGTCGCGCTGCTGGCCTAGCACCCTCCGGCCTGCTGCCTAGTACCTAAACTAGTAGCTACTAGATGCGTATTCCCCGTAGTGTGTGATGTGGCAAGTTCGGTGACGGGAGGTGTTTCCCATTTTGTGACCCACAACCTACCCAACCCTGCTCCTCTTACAACGGAAGTGCTCCAGTTTTTCGCCAACACTCTCGCTATTCTGTTTACATTTTCGTTGAGGCGAAATCGCCTGGCACACTGTACAGAAACAACAGTGCTGCCAAATGTATACTGCTGCTTTAACGCGCTTGCGCCTTGCAGCCCGCTGGTAGCTTGTGCGCCGCTGCTGCCTTGTTGCGGCAACGCGCTGGCAAATTATTGTGCACGCTCACGCGTTGCTGCAGTGAGCTCACGCCTTGCTGCAGTGAGCTCACGCCTTGCTGCAGCGAGCTCACGCCTTGCTGCAGTGAGCTCACGTCCTGCTGCCGTGTGCTCATGCCTTGCTACGGCAGCCCGCTTTCTCTTCTCAGCCTGCCGGTGCCTTGCTGCAACTCTCTGCCGCCTTGTAGCGTGGCGATGCCCAGCTCGTTGCTCGCTGGAGCCTCGTTGTGCACCAGCGTGGTGTGCGTGACCTCAGGGGATCTATGTTTCAAACCACGCTTGTGAGTCGTCAAACCCGGTTTTTTTCGTTGCAAGACTTGCCTTTCATTTCTGTTTTGTATCAATGTTCATCAGTACTTTCATTTTGTACTTATTAGATTTCAACACACACGTGCTTATTAAGTTCCGTTTCACAATCTAGTATGTGTCAGAATGTTGTATTTGTCTAGCCTGCAGTGGGGTACTCTATAGCGAGTACAGCCCAATCTAGGGTTTGCTATTTGTATCTCAACTGCTGCTAGTCCAAACCCTCTTTCTGCTTCTAAACTTTCTCCTACTACTTCGACATGCTATCAGAGCAGGTCGACCCTCCTGGGTCGATCCTGTGGGTGGGCCCACCACCTAAGCCTTCCGCTGCTACTGCTACTGCTACTGCTACTCTGTGTGTCGCACGCCCCGTGGCGTACGACGGATTTTTTATCCCACCGTGCGCCCCGAGGTGCGCGGCGGTTTTCCGCCCGCCGTGCGCCCCATGGCGCGCGGCGGTTTCCTACCGTGGGGAGCCCGCGCGCGCCCCGCCCGTCCGTTGCGGCGCCCTGGGGAGCACGCGAGCGCTCCGCCCGTTCGTCGCGGCGCCCTCGGGAGCCCGCGCGCGCCCCGCCCGTTCGTCGCGGCGCCCTGGGGAGCACGCGAGCGCCCCGCCCGTTCGTCGGGGTGCCCTGGGGAGCCCGCGCGCGCCCCGCTCGTTCGTCGCGGCGCCTTGGGGAGCCCGCGCGCACCCCGCCCGTCCGTCGCGGCGCCCTGGGGAGCCGCGCGCGCCCCCCCCCACCCCCCCCCCGCCAGTCCGCCGCGGCGCTCTGGGGAGCCGCGCGCGTCACTTCCCTCCCCCCGACCCGTCCGTCCGTTTTGGCGCCCTGGGGTTGCGCGCGGTCCCCCTCTCGCCGTCCCCCGCGCTCCTGCCCCTCTCCCACTCGTTTTAGGGTTTGGGGATGTGGAGTGTGGGGGTGGCGGGTGTGGGGGTGCCGGTTGTGTGCCCCGTCCCCTCCTTCTCCTCCTCCTCCGTCTCCCGCTGCTGCAGCTGCCGCTCAGGGGGGTGGTTGTGTGGGGAGCCGACGGAGTGGTACTAGGGGGGTGAAAGGGGAGTGGAGCTAGGGGCGAAGCAGGGGGTGTGTGTCGAGGGGTGTGGGACTGTTGGGGGAGGTTGAGCGGAGGCCGCCGTCGTGTCGTCTGCAGCGCCTGTATTCCGGGGTTCTGATAGCCACCGGTAGCTCAGAGAGCCGGTTGCACCTGTCGCCCGTGGGTCCGTTGCTCCTGTCGCTGCTGATCAGACGCAGAGCCTGTTACTCCTGTATTCCGGGGCCCTTGCTCCCGGTAGCCACTAGAGCTGCACCAGAGCCGTCTGTTGCCCGTGTGTCTGCAGCTTCAGTCGTCGCCTCCACTCTTCTCTCCTCTCGCCAGCCCTCCTCCTCACTTGCCCTCTGTGACTGCCTCTAGCTTTGCTCATAAAATGTGAACTACTATTATGACTGCTTGTTGTGCTGATTACACCCCACTTTGGCTATGGGGGTGTGTCAGAATGTTACTTGTCTAGCCTGCAGTGGGGTACTCTATAGCGAGTACAGCCCAATCTAGGGTTTGCTATTTGTATCTCAACTGCTGCTAGTCCAAACCCTCTTTCTGCTTCTAAACTTTCTCCTACTACTTCGACAGTATGTGCTCGTCATTGAATACTTCACTGCGTTCTCCGACGACAATTCATTCTTACTTAACATTTTTGTTTTGCAAGGTGTACAAGACGCATTGTGTGGAGCAAGGAGGGGAACGCAAGAGAGAAGACAATGTGGAAAAGGGTGGGAGGAGATTTTGATGGTACAGGGAGAGGAGGGAAGGCGGAAAGAGGGAGGAAGGGGGGTCAAGCTAGTAGTGATCGATACATAATAATATGATTGCAACTCTTTGTTATGCTTGTCTGCTCTCAATCCTAATTGTGTATGCATGTACGTGCGGGTGTGTTTGTGCGGGTCGGTTTGTGCGGGTCAGTTTGTGCGGGTGTGTTCATGTCAATTGGTTGTTTCACGGGGGGTTGTTGTGCTGATATGCACCGTGTTTGTGATTTGAGGTTGTCATCGTCGTTGGGGCAGCGTGTTTTCGCTGTAACAACGACCCCATCAATCTCAGTTGCAGCATTGGTGTATATTGAGCACCCACTTCGATTCGTTCACAATCGTTACGCGATGTTGCACCCTTTTACGAGCGTTTGCATTTGTGTTTGTGGGATGTGTGCTTCAAAGTGTGGTGTTACTTTGTGCCATGTATGCAATTAGAGGTTGTTAATCGTCTTTGGGGCAGCGTGTTTTCGCTGTTTCAACGACCCCATCAACCTCTATTGCTATATGGTGCATCTTAACATTCATTTTGAAGCAACCACTCCACCTAATACTTTGTTGTTCGTCTGTACAACTGCATTCGTGCATGTTGATACCAAAATATTATGTTTGACCGTATCATCCGCCGTATTTATCGACGATGCTGGGACGGTCGAGCAAGTTCATGGTTTCAACATGATACGTACGTTATTTGGTTTCACATATGGGAATCTCATTTGAGAGTGCTTTTATTCACTATTTGAAGCATCCGTTTGAACCCAATTTCAAACATTCAAACGCGTGCTCCAAAAAGTGTGTAAAATATCACTGTTCAAATGATATCCCCAAAATGTGAAACCAAATATAAAGGGTTGCTACGCAACCCAAAAAACACTTCAAACTCTATCAATGTTGTGGTGTACTCTGAAAATTCGCCCGTGAATATTCCATATCAAAATGGCAGCCACATGTGCCGCGAATTTGAGAGGCTCCACCTTTGCGCCACCGAAACCAATCTGCGTGTGTGGTTGCACGATGCATTCGATGGCCTCCTTTCCACGTCAGCTGCGTCACATCTCACCTCGACATCCACGCGAAGCTCCCGCTTTCCGTGGTTCGGTCTGGACGAAACTTGAGGACGGGCTCGAAATAACGCGTTGAAACCAGCGAAGAACTCTCACTCACCCATTTCTCCTCCACCCGTCACCTTTTGCCTCGACCTCTCAGCCTCTGCTCACGCGGACTCATCGCTTCGCCTCATAGCGCATACTCTACCAAAACGCTGCACGCATACCCAGTCCACGTCAGCATGTCGCTCGCAGCTAGACAGAGCACCGCAGCGGCTTCGCTCTCCGCGAGCCTCAGCCACTCGCAGAACGACTGCGTCGAGCGAGCTTCCGTAAAGCCCGCCGCATCTGCCGCGGCATGGCAGAGGCACAACGGCCTGCGAATGGTATCGACAGCTGGAGGCAAACGGGGAGTTGTTTCCGCGCAATCGAATCAACGGACGCGATCGCATAAGGTTCGGGACATGCCTCTTCACGTTTGTGTTTCTCAATTTCGTCCACGTGGATGGAGCACATTGGATAGCGCAATGTGCTTCGATTTAGTGTACGATTCTGGGGAGCTGAGCGAGCGAGTGCGACGGCAGCGTCTGAGAAGCGAGGATGGGCATGCCGGCGTTGACGGTTACCGCGGAACGGGCTTCACAGAGAATGCACTCAGTAATATCTTGGCGGGAAAAAGAGGCGCTACGTAATTCCGCTGTGAGGGCATGAGCTAGCGGCCCTCAAGCCGACTCTAACGCGCGCGAGAAGGAGAATGCCAAGCAGGAACTCGTTCGACAAGGCCCACCAGTCCACCAGTCCGCCAGTCCGCCAGTCCGCCAGTCCACCAGTCCGCCAGTCCGCCAGTCCGCCAGTCCGCCAGTCCGCCAGTCCACCAGTCCGCCAGTCCGCCAGTCCGCCAGTCCGCCAGTCCACCAGTCCGCCAGTCCACCAGTCCGCCAGTCCACCAGTCCGCCAGTCCGCCAGTCCGCCAGTCCGCCAGTCCGCCAGTCCCCTCCCCTATCTCTTCGCGCCCACCCCCCCGCCCCTGCCCCTGCAGCGTGCGCAGGCGCGAGCGGCGGTGTCGACGGCGTCGGAGCAGGCGGCGGAGGGGGGGACGGCGCTGCGGCCGCTGCGCGTGATGATCTCGGGCGCGCCCGCGTCGGGCAAGGGCACGCAGTGCGAACTCATCGTGCAGAAGGTGGGCTCCGCGCGCAGGCGTGCGGGAGGGAGGGGGAGGGGGAGGAGGGGGGCGGGGCAGGGAGAGCGGGCAGGGAAGAGGGGCAAATGGGGGAAAGGGGACAGACGGCAGTGGCAAGGGTTGAAGGAGTATTGGGGAGGGGGGGAAAGGGGGGGGGGGAGAAGATTGCGAGGAAAATGAGGAGAGGACGCACTGAACACACTTGTTATTTAACAGGATTTATGCGCTCTTTATCTCTACCTTCCACTTTCTTCTCTTCCATCCACCCGCCCCTTCACCCCCCCCCCCGCGCACCTCTGTATGCCCACTCTCACACGCCCTCGTCCCTCCCTCGCCGCGTTCTCCCGTGCGCGTCCTCCTGCACCCTCCCCCACTTCCCCCCTTCCCTTCTGCCGCCCTGCCCCCTGTTGCCGTGTCCCGTATTGTCCCCCTGTCCCCCCTCTCCCCTCCCCGTGCGTGCTGGTGCGCGCCTGGCAGTACGGGCTGACGCACATCAGTGCGGGCGATCTGCTGCGCGCGGAGGTGGCGGCGGGCACGGAGGGCGGGCGGCAGGCCAAGGCGCACATGGACGCGGGCAGACTCGTGCCCGATGACGTGGTCGTCACGGTGGGTGCTGCATGCTGGCTTGGCATGGCATTGGGTGGGTGGGTGCGTGAGTGGTATGTGTGGGGGCCGCGTTGGTGGCGGGTGCATACCCACTGCACTGCTGCTGCTCGCCTCTCCCACCTCCTTGCTCTTGCCCCTCCACGCCTCTAACAGCGCCCGTTCCTGTCTGTCTCTTGCCCACTCCCTCCCCGTGTCTGCCAGCCTCCACCAAAGCAAGGTGGAAAAAAGCGGTTGTCGAAAAAAACGATTGTTTTTTTCGATTGTATTTTACGGTATATTTAGGGAAAAAAAACGTCGTTTTTTTGTTAGGAAAAAACGAACGCCAATTTTTTCAAAGATGCTGTTTTGAGCAAACAAGCGCCCCACAACATCTCTTGATGCATCAACAGCACTCATAACGGCCCTCTCATTCTATTTATGAAAAGTTGCCCATGTTACAGCAGAAGTTAAGAGATTTCCTGAAAAAAACGATGGTTTTTTTCCACCCAAATGCCACATTTTGTTGAAACCGTTTTTTATCGTTTTTTACGATTGATTCTTACGATACGGTATTTTACGATCAAAATTTGAAAAAAACGTCGTTTTTTTGCACCTTGCACCAAAGTCCCCCGTAGTCAGCGTGGTGTGGGTGCCAGAAGGGCGCATTGACCCGGCGCACGCCAGGGATGTAGAAAACAAGAAAGAGCGCCTTGAGAAGCCTCTGCAAAGGGCTGCTGTTGTCTAGCCGCGGTTTGACCATGTGTGTCACCCTGTGCGTTCGTGTCTGCTTGTGTGCTCACCTGTGTGCGCGCCTCTCCTCGGCGCAGATAGTGAAGAACCGGCTGGCGCAGGAGGACGCGGCGAGCAGGGGGTGGCTGCTGGACGGCTATCCGCGCAGCCTGTCGCAGGCGCAGGCGCTGCTGGCGCTCGACATCTCCCCGGACGTCTTCATCCTCCTCGACGTCAGTCAGCCCCCTCCCTGCCCGCGCCACTCCCTCCTCTTCTCTCTCGCCCCACCTTCTGAGCGCTGTGCCTCTTGTGCTTTTACTTGGGCCCGTGCTAGGCGTCTTGGGAGTGCCGTGAGCAGTGCTCTATTAATGAAGGGCTCGTTCTGACAGCCTGCCAACTCGCACTGCGTCTCACTCACGTATCCATGATGCCAGCCGCCGCTCACATGCCCTTCCACCATTCAGGTGCCGCCAGCTGAACTGGTCTTTGGTGCATTCATGCTTTTGCGTTCACCGTCACTGCTGCACCTGCGCATCTCATCTCATTCCCCTATGCTCCCCGCTCGTTTCCGCCCTGCCCGGACCTGGACGCCCCACTGCCCCACTGGAGAGGGTGGAGGGGCGCCCTCTCCAGCTCTACGCAGCTACGCCGGTTCATTGCCAACCCACTACCTCATTTCTCCCCCCTTCTCCTCTTCCCCACTCCGTCTCCCTCCTTCCTCTGCTTTGTTCCTTCCCCCCCGCCTTGCGTGTGTGTGTGCATGCACGTGCACAGGTGCCGCAGGAGATCCTGGTGGAGCGCGTGGTGGGGCGGCGCCTGGACCCCGCCACCAACCGCATCTACCACCTCTCCTTCTCACCGCCCGAGACCGAGGAGATCGCCGCCCGCCTCACCCAGCGCAGCGACGACACCGAAGAGAAGGTGAGGAAGGGGGGTGGGGGGTGATGACAGCGACAGCGTGGTGGGGAGGTAGGGGAGGATGACATCCGGGACAAGTTGTGGGGTGAGTAGGCCTGGGTGGGGTGGGCGTTCACCCTCCCATGCACTGCTTGCCTGCTGCCACTCCACTTGTGATCTCCCCGCTATCCACTCCCCACTCTCTGCTCCTTTTGCCTTGTCCCGAGTCTGCCCCTGACCGTATTTTGCTCGTTGCCGCTACTCCTGTGTGTGTGGGGCTGCTCTGCGGGCATGTCATGGCATGGCATGGCATGGAGTGGGGGCAGGTGAAGGCGCGGCTGGAGACGCACAACGCCAACGTGGCCAGCGTGCTCGATGTGTACGCCGGCAAGCTCGTGCAGGTGGGATGCAGTGCAGAGCGGTGCGAAAGGAAGCAGTTGAGATTGGAGGAGCGAGGGGGAGTGTATGGCGTGAAGTGAACGAGAGTGCATGGCATGGGATGGCTGGATGTGCACATGGGAAGGCAGCGCAGGGTGGGAGAGAGTGGAGTGACACTTATAGAGGATGGTGGCGTGCTTTGGTGTGGCTGTGGGATGGCACTGCCTTAGGGGTTATTCTTCCAATCATCGCATTCATGCATGCCCTCTTCACCCAAACTTGTCCCACTCCACTACTGCAATTTTTTTTTCATTTCGCCTATGCATCAAATTTCCATCCTGCCCTTCTTACTGTGCACCCCACTCCATTGCACGCCCACCTCCACTGTACCTGCCTCACTGCGCCCGCTCTCCACCATCCAACCCATGCCATGCAATGTGGGGAGCAGGTGAATGGGCACCGGGGCAAGGAGGAGGTGTTTGCTGACATTGACTCCATCCTCACTCTCCTGCAACAAGGCCACCTCTCCTTTGACTAGCACCACCCACGTTCGTTTAGCCATGAGGCAAAGCATGGCAGTGTAGATGTGTTTGTAGTAATGTTATTGGCATAAATCCTCTGCTAGCCTAGGCAACAACTACGGTAGAACTACTGGTTTCCTATGGCTCCAGCTAAGGTTCACTGCTACCGGTAATATTCTACGCATCGAATACATATGAGTTGGTCGCCTCGAATGGCACTGGTACAGTAGTCATTGTGCCGACTTGCACTGCCAAAACAGCCACCTGTGGCAGCGGTAGAGGTGTGGCTGTTGGTATGCACCATGGTGTGGGTGGGGTGGGGTGGGACCCCACATTCCTGAGACAGGGTGGACCCACTGCTACCTCGCATCTTGCATGCTGGGCTGGTGGTGCAGGCAGCTCTGCCCTGCATTGCGATGCTCCTTACCTACCTTCAGCGACTCTATGCACGGGCACACTCGGTAGCATTGGAAGCAGATGGGAGCAGGCGGAGCGGGCAGGGCGGGTCACCTGCCCTGGGAGGCGAGCCACTGTTGCTTGGTCATGGGGCGCAGGAAGCCAGTGGCCTTCTCCTTGCCGATGCTAGTGAACGCCCCCCCATAGTCGTGACCGGGGTACACCCTGCACCGCTCGCAGGGGTGGCTCACACACAACAACAGGGCAGAGGCGAGACGCGGTTGGAGAGGGGGCAGTTTTTGTGGTGAGGGTCACGGGGCACGTGGTGGTGGCGAGGCATAGTGTGGTGAGTGGCAGCACATGGACACATGGCAGCAATGCTGGGAGGGGTGCGACTGGCAGGTCAAGGAAGACGAATGTAGTTTTTTACCCGCCTCACAGTGCGCTCACCTGGTGTCGGGCGGCAGAGCAGCGAGCTTCTGCAGGCTGTCATACATGGCCTCCCTGTTGCAGTCCGGTAGGTCCAGCCGCCCACAGCTGTCACGGGCGGCAGAGTGGACGGGTGGGGCATGCAGTGGGAGGGGTAAGCATGAGGTGATGCTTGATGCTCGATGCTTGTTATTTGGGTGCTCTCTGCTTGATGCAGCAGCGACACACGCTTGAGAGCTCACCGCTGCGCGCCTTACCTTCTTCGAGAACAAGTTTGCGAAGCAAGAAAAGAGGGAGGGACGACATTAGATCCAAAGAGGCAGCGATGGGGTGGAATGAGATGAAGCAGAGATGCACACTCATGGAGGGCAGCAAGCATGAGTGATGCCCCAGCTTCCCATGGCAGGAGATTCGACTTGGCCTCGCACTCTTGCATTGCTCCGCTAGCACACCACATGACGTGCATGGCTCACTTAATCGAGGTGGTGCCTTTAAGGGCACAGTCAGCGAGTTGCAATGGAATGAGGGGACTGGAGCGAATTGGGGTGAGGTGAAGTGAGTGGACTGGAGCGGAAACAGTTGCTAGTATAAAGCTCGTGCTGGAAGGGGCTTCGTGATTACAGTGCCCCCTCCTACTCACAAGTGCTGACGCTTGCTGACAGCAGAAAGACAGGGCTTCGGACTTACCTCCCGATAAAAAGGGTGTCTCCTGATATTAGAACACCATCATCATGGCCCGGCGCTCTGCAGGCAGCGAGCAAACAAGAAGGTGAGCAGCAAGAGAATGAGAGTGCAGACATGTGGGTGGCGGGGTGACGGCATATGCACGAGCGTGGTGCGCACTGCACTGAGCGTGTGTGCGTGGCTGCTGTAGGTGTCATGAGTGATTCTCATGCCTCCAGCGTGCTGCCTTACAGGGGCCATGCACATGCGACAAGCAGACAGCATGAGACCGTCGCACGGGCTTGTGCACGTCCACCCAGTGGTGGTAGAAAAGGAATGTGTGAGCAAGTGTCTATGCAAATGGAGCACCCGTGTGCACCCAACACACAGCCCATTGCCCATGCAACCATGCACAATGCGCCGAGTGTGTTAGAACATGGGATACATGCACATGGGTGGGGCATGCCCGCACAGCATTCATCTACAATTATTCACTTGTACACATCGCTCACCGTTCAATGTGGATGCACTGGCTGCCAGGCGTGTGGCCGGGTGTGTGGATGAAGCGCAAAGACACCGCGCCCACCTCTATCGTCGACCCATCCTGCCCTCGCCATCGCCACCACCAATCACCGACCATGAGCATGAAGGGAACAAGGCATGAGCCGGACAGGAAACACAACAAAAAAGGAGGTACAAAAGGATTGCAAAGAAAACACGGCTGGCACATACCCCTGACTGGAGAGAGCTTGGCAATGGCTGACATGGTGTTGCCGTTTTTCCAAAGGCTACGCATGGTTTGCTTTGAGGATGCTAGGCTAGTGAATATATGAGGGAGAGCATGATGTGAAACACACTGACACCACAAGTGGAGGCACAGTTCTCTCTTGGGGTGGGTGAGGGAAGAGCTTTCAGGGAGATATGCACGGTGCTATCAGCTCAAATGCATGTTGGTATGCACCATGCATACCATTCCAACCTGTCATCCCATCTCATGCCACCATAACATACCGCCACCATACCATCACTGCACCTCCACAATACCACCACCATACCACACCACCACCATACCTCTGCCATACCTCTGCCATACCTCCACCATACCTCCACCAAACCTCCGTCATACCCCCGCCAAACCTCAGCCATATCTCCACCATACCTCCGCCATACCTCCACCATACCTCTGCCATACCTCTGCCATATCTCCACCATATCACCAACATATTTCCGCCATACCTCTGCCATACCTCGAATATATCTCCACCATACCTCTGCGATACCCCCACCATACCTGCGCCACACCTCCACCATACCTCCACTGTACTTGAACCGTACCTCCACCATACCTGCGCCACACCTCCACCATACCTCCACCGTACCTGAACCGTACCTCCACCATACCTGGACCTCCACGATGGAGTCGCTGGGAACACCATTCTTGGATCGCAGCAGCGCTGCATCGTGCTTGTTGGCATACACCTGTGGGGGGTCAGCGGAACGGGGGTAGGGGCTCAGTGGGACGGCGGGTGAGGTGAAGAGGTGGGTAGGGATGCGAGACAGACGACAACCATGACAGTGAGTCAACCTTTGTGACTATCCAGTCACCTTGTGAGGTGGCACACCTTCTGGGGCAAGGCGATACATGCATCCCCAGACCCACACATGTCCCCAGGCATGGCAGGGAACTTTGAGCCTCCACTGCGTCAGTGCCAAGCCCCTCATCGCCAACAGCAGCAGACCTTGAGGCCGTGTGTGGCAGCGAGCTCCCTGATCCCCGGCACCTTGATGCCCAGCGCGTCAAACGGGGGCGGTGGCATGCCACCCGTGTGGTCAAAGTGGTAGTGCGTCACCACCGCTCCCACCTGGAGAGGGGGAAGGGTGGGGGGCATTGGGGGCAAGGAGCACGGACGAAGGCAAGAGTGAGACGGTTCTTGTTGCATTGAGAGAGAAGGGAGCGAGAGCAGGGGGAGATGAGACAAAGGGCGCCATATCAAGGAAAATGGTCAACAGCATCATGTGTGGCATGCCCACATCCTGAGTTAGAGTGCTCACCAGCTTCACTCTCTCCGCCTCTGCATATCGCAGAATGCCCTGCCATGCCAGGCAAGGCGAGGCGAGGCGAGGCGAGGCGAGGCGAGGAGAGGCGAGGAGAGGCGAGGGAGGGACCCCACCGTGGCGCATGTTATGAGGAAGGGGGGGGGGGGCGGTTGGACGCATGACACAGTGGCACACATAGAGACCGAGGGGCGGGTGAGCGGGATGGGAACGGAGCCGCGCAGCAATGAAGAGGGTTTGCGAGGAATATATGTAAAGAAATAGAGGGGAGCACAGCAGAGTGGACACGACAGGTTTTGAAAAGCGCACAGGCCTCCGCAAGAAGCGGGCATGAAAAGTGATTACATGGTCAAAAAAGCGGAGCAGCGCCTCACCTCGACGTCCCAGGCGCCATCCACGACTACGGCCTCTCGGGAGTGCGCATCGCCAATGAGGTAGATGAAGTTGCGCATCTGCTGTGCACTGCGGTATATCTGCGCACATGGAAACCCGGGTGATGACAGAGTTAAGGATGTGGGACGGGGGCGGCGGGCGGGGAGATGAGGGGTTGGGGGGTAGGGAAGTGAGGACGGGTGAGGCAAGAGAGGTGGGGATGAGGGATGTAGAGAGCAGCGCGCTTGTGGGACGTGGATGGATGACAAGGGACGGGTGTGCGTGTGTGTGTGTGAGTGCATGCCCATGAAGAAACAGTTGTCCATGTTTGACACGTGAGCATGGGTTTCACCTGGGACTCGATGACGTTGCGGCCTCTGCCCACACAGAACTCTCTCCCCGCGAACAGCTGCCACACAGGAGCAGGAGCACAGATGGATGGTGCTGATGAGACAAGTGTTGATGCAGTTGGCACACGCGTGCCACTGAACCTCCTCTGCCCTGAAACCCCTGGCACTGCACTGCACTGAACTGCACTGCACTGGATGAAGCAAGGGCGTTATTCGTAAACAGCAAGCGTGTGTACAGAGAGGGCGCACGGCACATGGAGCATGCATGGCACACATGAGAGAGAGAGCGAGGCAGGGCGTGCGTCACCTGGCGAAGCAGGAAGCCCTGCTGAGCCTCCAGCGCCAAGAGCAGACACTGCTTCACCGTTGCATCGTCTGGCGCCTGCTCCCCATGGCCAGGGGCAAGGGTGGGGTGATGGACAGGCATGGGTGTGATGCACGGTTGGGGAAGGAGGGAGTAGAGGATGGAGCAGCAGAAAGTGAAGTGAACGACCATGATGACTCTAACAGGCACACCTGTTGCTGTCGTGTGCACGGTTTGACAATGCAGCCAGCAGGTAAAGGCACTGGGAGGAATTGGGAGAGAGGTTCACGCTGATTCTAACGATGGGTAAGGGGGATCAGGAGGGGACTGCAAACGGCGAGACGAGTCAAGAGCATAGCGCATGGCGCATGGCGCATGGCACAAGGTAGACGCAAGGCACATGGTGCAGCTCACCCGGTCCAGTGCAGCTCACCCGGTCCAGTGCCTG